CCTCACGAATTTCTTCAGCTAAAAACACCTACAGCTACTCCCAAATTTCCTCTGTGTTCATACTTGGTTCTCGTTCGCTGGAACTCGTGTTTGTGTGCTCAAACATTAGTTCGTAGTCATCGTATCCTTGGAAACGATTGTTGCAACGCTCCTAGCACCGTGGGAGGCAACAAATACGTTTTAAGGAAATCGTGCGTAGCACGAGCTTTGACTAATTCTGCTTCATCTCCTTTCCTGTTTTTCTTTAGTCATTTTATTTAATTAATTTATTTTAATTAATTTTCTTTATTTTCCGAAACACACCCAACATATATATATATATATATATATATATATATATATATATATATATATATGTGTGTGTGTGTGTGTGTGTGTGTGTGTGGGGGGGGGGGGGGGGGGGGGGAGGATCATAAATCAATCAAGGATGATTGCACAAGAATAGTCACCATCGTAGATAGAAGGAAATAATTTATCTGCTTAACATATATAAGCATGCAACAGACCACTATTTAAATTACCATATATTAAGTCATGCAATCATATTAAAGCAAGCAAAGATCATTTCCATAAAGTACTAAGCTATATTGATAAGTGCATGTCAAGTCATGCATGGAAAGAGAATTAATGATTCATGTTACGTACATATAGAATATTCATGAAAATATTCTAGCTTAAAATAGTGTTCTTGACAAGTAGGTGGTTTATTAACAAAAGGTGGTCACATAAGCAATTCAAAGTATTACCAATTAATCCATACACCCGTACAAGGAAAGCACTTATCGATTAATTCATACACTATGTAAGCCAATCATTCACAATGAATAGAACAGAACTAAGAATAGTTCTATCTTTCATTCCATATGAAACTGAGAGTGAGTATGTCCGTTGTTCCACCTGCATAATTAATCAATCTTCTAAAATGCGTTCGACGCTAATGAGGCACCAGCTCAGGACTTGGATGGCAGGCCGGTGCATAGTGGACAAACCAGAGATAAAATTATATTTTATGACTATTTTGCATGAATATAATAAATAATTTTTAATATGATCAATATGTTTGTGTGTATCTCTATATATACACACATACTAACATGCACAAACGATCGTATTGTAACATTTAATAATATAATATAACTAATTACTTAACTTCATTTGTAATAAATAAGGAGTACTACTACGTATTAAATAATACTACATCCATTCCACTAACATTGGAACATAAGGACATGATGCATTTATTAAGGAAAATGATTTACGTGGTCGATATTGAATTGACAAAATAAAAATAAAGTAAGAATGATTTAGAATAACACAAATTTTACCAAATTTGATATGAAAAATTTTTGGTAGGACGGACCAGAAAGAAAAGATGGGAAGATCTTAGCGAGACGGAGAGAGTGATAAAATTTAATGATACATATAGACATAAATTGTTTTGTCTTAAACTGTAATTAGCTTTCTTCATATCCGTTGTTAAAGTTAAATGTATCTTTTAGAAATATAATATAAAATAAAATAGAATAAAAAATCAAAATAATGTTTGAACAAGACACCCACTACAAAAAAATTACGAGATTGTCACGGAATTTGACACGGACTTAACGTTTTTTCGTGCCAAAGTGTTTTTGGCACAGATTTGGCATTTCCCTACCAAAATCCCTGCCAAATCTTTGCCAAAACTCCTGCCAATCCCGTGGTTTTTTTGTAGTGACCCTAGGTAGGCGATTAGGTGCTCTGAGCGTGCAATTAGGTTCCCTAGGTGACAGATTAATTCACCGGGCCGTCAAGTCAATTATTCGGGACGCCCATACTAAAATTGAGATGTGTGATATGATCGTCGTGTTATGTTTTATGACGTTTTATGGTATTTCATGTCCATTTTAAGAAATTGTAATTCAAGTAAAAATAGCAGAAACTAGTCAGGCTCTTATTTGAAGCAATTATTTAAAAACTAATTGGCCTAAGTATGAGTAAAAATGTTTGTGAAATTCAAAATAGGAGTGACATTCGTTTATTTTCTTATTAGGAATGAATATTGTCATTTTTATGTATTAAGTACCTCACTTTAAAACGGCTATATTCTAATTTATCTAGAGAATAAAAATAAAGAAATTAGCCATAATAGGACTTAAACATGCTAAAAAACTCATATTAGGACTTACCAAGTTTTCTCTCGTTAATAGGACTTATACGGTCCTATCTTACGTTTTACTACTTTAGGAAATATCCTAAATACCCCTATTCGAAGTTCGCTTGAGATTGTTTACACGCACGTAAAATTTACCGGCCTTTTTCGGTTATCCAGTTTCAAGCGGTTAAGGAGTTTCCGTTTACTTGTTGGTTGAGTAGTTTCCTTATCCGAGTAGTTTCCTTGTTCGTCAATTCTGCATTCTTTTTCCTGCATTCGTCAATTCTGAGTACGAGGTCATAGCTGCCTGTGTTTCGTTCTTTGCAGGGTATGTTTACTTCAAATTTAAAGCTTTCATAATACTGGCCGTGATTCTGTTTTCGTTCGTCAATTCTTCTTCAATCGTTGTTACATTGAAGAATAAATTTGTTATATTAGATATACGATTGCTTTTTCCTGCATTATTTTTCCTGCATTCGTCAATCCTTCTGTTTTTTCCTTCCAGCTCTGTTTTTTTCTTCAATTTCATATTATCGATCCTTTCATCATATGATCGCTTTCAAATTCGTTATAATCAACAATTTATTTCGTATGTCGTTGTACTCTGTTTTATTTCATTAAATTTCATCCGCTAGTTTAGATATCAGTTTGTATCTACAATTTATTTTGTTTTTGTTAAATTCTCTATTCGTCTACCTAAATTATGCCCTTCGAACTGTCATTTAGTTTGTTCGAACTGTCATGTATATGCATTTTTTGATTACTCCTTTTTATGTTCTGTAATTGTATATAATTGGTACACATTCTTATAAACTGTCATATTGTTAACACAACTGTCATAATTTTGTCCAAACTGTCATTTAGTTTGTCCTACGTTCCTACCTGTATATGCATTTTGTTAACAAAACTGTCATTATTTTGTCTGAACTGTCTTTTTTCATACTGAAATATTTCTTTTGCTGCATTTTTTTAGGAACCTTTTTACCACAATGGATCCTATTTTACTTGTTATGGTCAAGGTTGACGGTTTTTGGGATTCTAACAATGTGTTCAACAATGTCCACACATGTGGCCTTCATGTTAACTATAATGTTCAATATGCTTCTTTTATTAACTCTTTGAGTGACATCCTTTCTCAGTACAAAGCTAATCATAATTTCAGGCTTTCTTATATGCGAGATGGATTTCCTCCTCCTGTTACTATAAATGATCAATCTACCTTAACATTTTATCTTTATATCAAGTCTCTTCAACCAGATTTTTCATTGTATCCACTTTGTGTTGAGTTTTATCCGGTTTCATCTTCTCCTTCATTTTCTATTGATGTTGGACCATCTGCTTCTCCTTGGTCTGAAAATGTTGTCATTTCTTCACAGCAACATACCCCTTATGATGACAATGGTGTTGTTTCTTCTCCCCATGCTTCACAACAACATACCACTTATGAGAATGTTGTTGTTTCTTCTGCCCAACTACATTCCTCCTCCCCTGCACTTTCTTTTGATGATGGCCCACCATTTGGTCAATATGAAAATGTTATGCTATCTGGGGTAAGTTGTGGCCAATCCGAAGATATTGTTTCTTGTGGTAACACTGTGTCTGCAACTGTAGAAAATGAATCATCTGAAGACAGTGATGACATGTCAGATGATATGTCAGATGGCCTTTTAACTAAATCATCTGACTCATTCTCATTTCTCCAAAATTTTGAAATCATCACACAGTCCCATCCTACTTGTCTTCTTCTCCATGCTATTTACAAAAATAAAAAAGAACTTATCCACCATCTGAAGATGTATGCTATCACAAACCACTTCCAATACAGAACTAAGACATCGAAGAAAATATGTTTGCATGTTATTTGCTTAGATCCAAAATGTTGTTGGAGTGTTCGAGCTGTAAAACTACATGGCGTAACAATGTTTCAAATCAGAAGGTAACTTCAATTTTCCTTCTTTAATTCACTTCATTGTAAATTCTGGTTTATAAGAATGTCATGTTGTGTTGCCATTCTTATACAGGACTGTCAACTTCATATTATGTATTTGTATACTAATGTCATTTTTCTTTTCAGATTCCGGCCAGTTCACACATGCTCTATTGATTACAGACAAGGCAAACATAGACAGGCATCTGCTAGTGTGATAGCAAATATTATTGCACACAAATACCTTGATGCTTCCAATAAACCATACCCCCCAAAGAAAATTCGTGAGGACATGAGTATGCAGTATGGAATTTCCATGTCATACAACAAAGCTTGGAAAGCACAGAAGAAAGCAATGCAGCTGCAATTTGGTTCTGATCTTGAATCCTATCAGCTTTTGCCTTCAATGGCTTATGTGCTTGAGAAAACAAATCCTGGCTCTATGTTTAATCTAGTCACAGGGAAGGATGATGCATTTTCTACCTTTTTATGTCATTCAAACCATGGATAGAAGCTTGGCCCTACTGCAGACCTGTTCTTATATTGGATGGTTCTTTCATGAAGGCTTACTATAAAGGCACTCTCCTTACAGCTTGTTGCCAAGATGCCAATGATCACATAGTTCCTATTGCATTTGGTATTTGTGGTTCTGAAACTAAAGCTTCTTGGAAATGGTTCTTATCCAAAGTTTGTCAATCAATAAAGTACAGACATGACCTGTACGTAGTATCTGATAGGCATAAAGGGCTTATCAAGGCCGTTTCTGAACTCTTGCCACATGCTAGCCACAGTTTTTGTGTTGCTCATCTTGGTCGTAACATAACATCAAAATTCAGAGGATCTGCAGCTGGTTTGGGATGGAAGTTCAAAGCTGCCTATATGGCAGCAACTATGAAAGAATATGATGACTACTTATCCATGTTGGATTCTGAAGACCCCAGGATAAGGACTTGGCTAGACAAATTAGGTGCTAACACATGGTCAAAAGTAATGTCTGGCCCAAAGAGATATAATATTATGACATCAAATTGTGCTGAGTCTATGAACAAAGTCAATGTCTGTGCTAGAGAGTATTCTGTGTCTAAACTTGTTGATTTCTTGCGTGAAAGGATGCAGCAATGGTTCACAGAGAGGAAAGATAAAGCTGAGAAAACAAGTACTATACTCACAAAGAAATGTGAGAAACGCCTGGTAGCTTTGCAAGCTGAATCCACACGTATGAAGGTATGTCAAAGCTTATTTTTTGACTTTGAATACCATTAGCCGGTTTTCATTTTTTCATCTCCTTTTATAATTCCACTTTGTTTGTTAATATGTCATTTTGTCTTTATAATTTTGTCATTTTTGTGTACTTCATATTCAAATAGTCTTACTAGCGTTTTTATTTATCATTTCTCTTCTACTTAATATTCATATATAAGTTGACATTTTACATACTTCATAGCCACATATTACTGCTATATTCTTTTGCTAATTCTCTTTTTTATCTACTTTCATATTCTTATTTTTTTTATTTCACAGGTTAAACCATCATGTGCATATGAATTTGAAGTTGTTGACAGTAGATGCAAGTCCTTTGTGGTAAACCTCAACTCTAGAAGTTGTACATGCGGCCACTTTCAATTAGATCAATTTGTGTGTGTTCATGCTGTGGCTGCAATCGGTATACGCCCACACCTTTCATGTTATACGTACATATCTCCATATTACACAAGAGATGCTTGGCTTGCTACATGGTCTGGTATCATGCATCCTATTGCTGATCCTGACAGTTGGTCAATTCCTGCTACTATTCAAAACCAGAGATGCAAGCCACCAAGTTGTTTGAAGCGTCCTCCTGGTCACCCTAAGAAATGCAGGATTCCATCCATTGGAGAATATAGAGGTTCAAAACGTCAAAAATGTTCTAGATGCCATGTGCTTGGGCATAATAAGAAAACTTGTAGAAATCCAATTCCAATTAATACCCAGTGATGTAGATTTGTCCACTCATTTTATGTTGTCTTCTGTTTTTTTGTACTTTTAACAATTCTACTATGTGGTTTGGACTTGGTTATCATTTCCTTGAACGTTTAAGGTTTTGTGCTTTAGCCATTCTTGGCATTTAAGTGTTTATGACTTGTGCTTTATCCAAATGTTTTATCCCAAATGTCATCTCAATAATGTAATGTCATTTTGTTTATGTATAAATGACATATGTGACATTTGATGGCATTTTGTATTCCACAAAATGTCATGTTACTTGTCAATTTGTTGTCATTTATTTACTGCATGTAAATGAGATTCAATCCTAGTATCCATCTACATGTTACTATAAAAAATGCTCTAGATAAACTGGCCAAGGGGACGTACGTCCCTTTAACAGATAGATTTTTTGAACGTAATTTAATAAAATGCATTGTCACAATGCATTGTCATAAAACATATTTCATACATTTTGAATATAGAGGTTCAAAACGTCAAAAATGTTCTAGATGCCATGTGCTTGGGCATAATAAGAAAACTTGTAGAAATCCAATTCCAATTAATACCCAGTGATGTAGATTTGCCCACTCATTTTATGTTGTCTTATGTTTTTTGTACTTTTAACAATTCTACTATGTGGTTTGGACTTGGTTATCATTTCCTTGAACGTTTAAGGTTTTGTGCTTTAGCCATTCTTGGCATTTAAGTGTTTATGACTTGTGTTTTAACCAAATGTTTTATCCCAAATGTCATCTCAATAATGTAATGTCATTTTGTTTATGCATAAATGACATATGTGACATTTGATGGCATTTTGTATTCCACAAAATGTCATGTTACTTGTCAATTTGTTGTCATTTATTTACTACATGTAAATGACATTCAATCCTAGTATCCATCTACATGTTACTATAAAAAAATGCTCTAGATAAACTGGGCAGGGGGACGTACGTCCCTTTAACAGATAGATTTCAAAGTTGATGTCATTTTGTTTTCTAAAAACTGTCATCCAAATGTCATTTATCACGGATTTTCTTCATGTAAAAATCCGTGCTTACATAAATATAAGTACCCTGTGTAATGCATTAACACAAAGTCATCTTTAATGTAAAAATCAAACAGATTTTTTGAACGTAATTCAATAAAATGAATTGTCACAATGCATTGTCATAAAGCATATTTCATACATTCAAAACACAATGAAAATTGCTTTAACCAAGTTTTTCAAAACGAATGTACTAGATGTCTAGATGTCCTGACATGATATTAAAAGTACTAGTAAATATAACAGTCTTCCAAAACAAACATAATTGTTTCATCCTACAATCCCATTTCTTTATAGCTTCATTTCATTCTCTCTCACCCTGCCTCCTCTTGCTATATAGGATCAGTTCAGTTGCCATTTTTTCCCTAAACAAAGGTATTGCTTCAGGATATATGCCATCCATGTCCATCCCCACCATTAGAAATTCAGCCATCTTGAGCATGAACATTCCACAATTTCCCCTGATGCATAACACCAAAAATTAAAAGAAATTTTTAAAATAAAAAAGTACACTATTATACAATCTGATTAAGCAAATTTATATCCTCTTACCCATCATCTTGCTGTGGACATCCTTCTACAGGCTCAACTTCCAAAAACCTTTCACCCATAGGATCCTCACCCATCTGTTCGTACACTTTGTGATAGTCCATTATTTTGGGCAGGAGGACTGTTATGCATGCAACATAGGACCTGATATCCCTTAGTGAATCACCTCTTCTAGCATTGGAGTTGTACACTCTTACCTTTCTTTGCTTGATATCTAGTACTACCAAAACCCAATGGTTGCCAGTATTCAGAGGGAAGTACACGAAGTCTGCTTTGCTCCAGTGTAGGCTATAGTTGTTCACACCTATTATGTCACGAACAATGTTTTCTTCTTGTGCTGACTTGTGGTATGTATAGTGCCCCTTTGATATAGTGTCAAGCTCCCGCTTCAGTATTTGCAAGAAAAAAGGCCCAGTTGTGCTGTAGTTTTGTGGCAGTTTGTAATGCACCCGTTTCATGCCCAAATAGTACATTACTACCTCAACATGCTGTAAAAAATAAAACACACATTTAACAATTACAAACTAATTCAACTGACTTTTAATGGCATTCTATACAAACAAACATACATATAAATGTACACTTGGGAGTTAGACTGACAAAACTATAACATTTTTGAATTTACCTTGTCAGTGATCCATTCATGATTCGTAAACATGTCATATAACCATGTTTTTGATTCAACTTTCATAGTGTCTAGCAAGAACGGTTTGTGAACCATTTTTTCTTCTTCCACTTTGTACCTTCTGCCATTTTTGTTTTTTTGAAAATTCTTCAACAATCCAACTTGGAGGTATGCTCTCACCCTCTCTATTTCATGATCTGGTGGGCTCTCTGTTGGATCTTCTGTGAAAGGTCCAACTATTTCCTTCAGTGGAGGCAAAAATTCATTGTCAGCTCTTTTCTTACCCTTTTCTCTCTTCCTCCTCTTTGGCGAATGCTCAGATGGAGTGTACTTCACTGGTGACCTAGCAAAACGCTTTTGTTTGGGAAGATCCTCTTGTTCCTGTGGCATTTCCATAATATATATTATTTATTATACTTTTCTATATTTATTGAAAATGTATTAATACACTCAATGTCATACTAAAAAATAATCATAAAAATATAAGCATTATAATCAATTTGTAAAGTATTTTGTCATTCAAGTCAAGACAATATTACATAAAATGTTTTGAGATTCATAAAAATCATATATACAATGGTGATATGTACTACAGAAGTCACCAATTTGTCAGTTTCATAACTTCACATAAACTGTATATCACATAACTTTACTAATTTGTCACTAATACTTCGAATGTCACTTTTATGTCAGTTTCATACCTTCCAAATGCTACTTGAATGTCATTTTATTTTTTTTTAGTTACCTGATTAGGCTTCACTATGATTGTTGTACATGGATTGGAAGAATAGCTCTCAAAAGCCTTTTTGGCCACTTCATCTGCAGTTTTGCAAATCTCTTTGACAAATTGACTATTGTCCTGTGACCCCATCCCCCAACAAGATTCAGCAGTTTTGTCCATCTCTTGAGACTGACTCAATATGTTAAACGTAGGCATGTCACAAACTACATCTTCATTGTGCTCGGTCTCTACAACATCTTTATCTAGAACAGCATCCTCATTTTTTGCACCACCATCCCCAATATGTAAAATATCATCCTCAGTCTGTGCAGCAATGTACTCAGTCTCCTCTTGCACATGAATGTCAGCAGTATCATCATCCTTTAGCCTAGGTTCCTCATCATTCTCGTAATCTTGCCCAGTCATGTCATCATCTTCTTTTTCATTAACATTTTCTTCTTTTTCTGGACTTTCATTCTTTTCAACTTTCTCTGTTCTTTCTCTTGTGTCCTCATCTTCACCTTTATCACTGCCTTGTGACATCTGTTTGACAATAAGTAGAACTTCTTTTAAAAGATCTTCCTGCTTTTTCTGAGTTTGCTTAATGTTTTTCATTTCTGCCACTAGTCTGGCAGTCTCCTTAGCTTGTTTCCTCATACTTTTTTGCATACTGTTACTATGTTTGCTCATGAACATAATATATTTCTCTGCTTTTCTTCCACTATCACTTGAATCATCTTCTTCATCCTCACTCTCAGTGCCTTCATCACTCTTTGTTTCCTCATCACTTTTGAATTCCATCTCAATCTTCTTTCTTCTTTTAGAAGTTCCCTCGCCAGATTTACCTTTTCCCTTCACTACTTTTCTTGTTTTCCTTTTCATGCTTCTGGTCTGTATTGCCTTTTTTTTTTTGCCTTTTTCTGCAATAGCTTTCATCTTTTCAGCATCTAGCCTCCCCACATTTGGAATAACAATGTCCATTCCATGGCCACCTCTGTCATTGTTTCCTCCAATCATGGCAATCTCTTCTTCTGTTGGTACGATCTGTGTCCACTCAAACTAAACAAGTACACTTTGTTAGTAAAAAAATTGTAACCTTATAATCTAGATATATTTAGACTATTAAAACTAATACCTTGTCATTCTTGAATATTATTTGGGAAAGCACCTCTAGTGTAGGTTTTTTCTTGAATTCCCACTTCAGTGTCCTTGGTAAGATGTTTTCTCTGCCTTTTATTAGCTTGCACAAACCAGCTTTTGCAAGTCCTGGGAATGTCTCAAATGCCCACCATTGTAAAGCCACCATGTACCCAGGGAATGTAACTTTGTCCCCTTTGCCTTTATCTAATGCCTCACAACTTTGTTTTATTTTGTCAACCAACTCGTTCCAAACATCATCACCCCATGGGTAAGCATTGAATGCATCCAAATCGTTTACCAGGTTTATGTAGTATGCTTTCATAGGCCTGGCAGTTTGATTCCCAAACAAACAATGTGACAATATGTGTAGTAGAGCCAACTTCACTCCATCCTTTGTCATTCTTCCTTCATTAGTGCTCTCATAACTCTTCAATGCATTTTGGATATCTGCACGGGACACTGTAGCCTTGTTCCCAAAATATCTTCTCCATATATCTCCCTCAGGCTCCTCTGAAATATTTGGCTTCAGACTCCCAAATTTTAAACCACACATTGTTGCCATATCAGCCTTTTGAAAACTGATTACACTGTTTTGAATATGAAATCTGATGACACTGTCATCTGCATTTCCATTAACTTCAGTGACATAGTTTCCAACAAATCCTAACAGTAGTTGTCCACTATTCCAAGACATATCTTCAATTTTTAACATCCAACCAAATATGGTGTTACTGAAATCAGTCAGTTCCTCAGTGCTAAGACATGTCCTTATTCTTTTAAGAACTTCAGCAACATTGCAGTAAGAATTTACACGCAAGTTTTCCAAGTCCACTAACACTGACTTCTTAAAAGCTCTTGTTATTGTCTGTCAAGTTCACACAAATATAGGCATTATAATCAATTTGTAAGATATTTTGTCATTCAAGTCAAGATATTCATAAATAACATGGTAATATTAACTACTTAAGTCATTAGTTTGCCAGTTTCATACTTTCCCATAAATTGTGATAATTCTTGCAATTTCACTTTTCATTCAGAATGCCACCATATTCTTCTCTATTTTGCATTATGTTGTTTTATAACAACATGACACACTAAAAACTCACTAAACTGTCATTTATGTGTCAGACTTTCAATTTCCAATTCAATGTTGTGTTAATTTCCGTTCAATGTAAGACATATTCATAAAATGTCACTATTTCATGCAAACTGTCATCGCAGTAATGATACATACTTACAACCCCACAATATAACCACATATAGTGGAATGTCACTTTTTCATACAAAATGCCATCATATACTTCTTTATTTTGCACTATTTTGTTGTATAACAACATCACAAACTAAAAATGATCTCCTAAATTCTCACTAAACTGTCATTTATGTGTCAGACTTTCAATTTCCAATTCAATGTTGTGTTAATTTCCGTTCAATCTAAGACATATTCATAAAATGTCACTATTTCATGCAAACTGTCATCACAGTAATGATACATATTTACAACCCCACAATATAACCACATATTAGTGGAATGTCACTTTTCATACAAAATGCCACCATATACTTCTTTATTTTGCGCTATTTTGTTGTATAACAACATCACAAACTAAAAATGATCTCCTAAATTCTCACTAAACTGTCATTTATGCGTCACATTCTGAAGTTCTAATTCAAACAAACGCATATTCATAAAGTATAACTAATTCACGCAAAATGTAACCATAGTCTTCATACACACTTAAAATGCCACCATATAACAACATGATGCAATGAAATGTTTTTACATTCAAACGATTTAAACTTTCTAAACTCCTTTAACTGTCAAACTTTTGTCAATTTCAGACATTCCTCTACTCAACGAAATTATTACTTACTATTTCGGAATTGATTCTGACGGAAAGTTTGTTTGACAAATCCATAGCTCTGTCCATCAACTCTACTCAACGATTCTACTCTCCTCAAATTTGAGCGTCGTTTCAGTGTTTTAGCACTTATCTCATGCATCTTGGTTTTCGCAATAGTCAAGCTGATACATTTAATCATTTTTTCCCTCGTGGCGATACTCGCCTCTATCATCTCGTTTATGTCGATGACATTATACTCACTGAGAATGATCTGTCTCTTCTTCGCCAATTTATCTTCTGTACAAATCATGAGATTTCTATAAAAGACTTGGGTCATCTTAATTTTTTTTGGGGCTCGAAGTTACTCATACACCTATAAGCATTTTCCTTGCACAGTCCAAATACGCTAGAGATATTTTGGATTGTGCCAAAATGTTGGATGTTACACCTGTTGCTACACCTTGGAACCCAGGTTCTCTACTTCATAGTACTGAGGCACTTTGTTTTCTAATCCTACACTATATCGGTCCATTGTGTGTGCTCTTCAATGTGTCACCATCCCATGCCCAGATGTATCCTTTGTCATTAACTTTGTGAGCCAATATATGCATTCACCTACTATTGATCACTATCAAGCTATTAAGCCCATACTACGTTATGTTAGGGGGTACGATCTCCTATGGCCTGGATTTTACTCGTTCTGCTTCGCCTTCCGCTATATTAGGTTATTCTGATGCTGATTGGGCACGTTGTTTGGAGACACATCGGTCCACTTATGGTTATGCAGTCTTCTATGGTCGTAATTTACTCTCATGGAGTGCCAAGAAGTAACCAACTTTTGCTCGTTCCAGTTGTGAATTTGAGTATCGTGCTTTAGCTAATACTGCTTCTGAAATTATTTTGCTTACTTATCTCCTTTGGGATCTTTATGTCCCCTTACTCGAGCCATTGTTGCTACTTTGTGACAACACAAGTGCCACTTTCCTATCCCAGAATCTTGTTGCTCACAAATGTGCTAAACATATTGAAATCAACTGTCACTTTATTCGTGAATCGATTTCCTTTGGCAAACTCGAAGTTCAATTTGTGTCGTCTACTTTGAAATTAGCTGACATCTTCACGAAAAAATTCATCGACCGCAATTTGAGTTCATTCACGCCAAGTTTCGCATCGCATGGATATGTCATCCCACGCTTAGCTTAAGGGGAACAGTGTTAGGACGATAAATTAAACCATCCTCCGTATATTTAGAAATAGTCTTTTATTATAGAGTATGTATTTTTGGTAATATCCATATTCATTTATTCTACCTTTCGTGTAATTGTAAAGTGATACTATAAATATCAATAAAATGATCCACACCCTCTAACGGGTGATATTTTCACAAAAGTCCTATTTTATATAATTTGCATTATTCCTATGTTTTACTTTTATTTAGGATAATTGTTTTTAAAATTTTGATGTTTACCTATTTGAAAATAACAGTAATAACTCAATGAAGAATAAAGTCGAATTAGAAGAAAGTATGACACCAAAATTAACAAGAATTTACTAAATTTTGAAGTGGATGCAGTTTATGGAATTATATGATGCGACTCATGTGGTTGGTTATATCAAGTCGATCTAAAACGAACAAATAGAGTTAATAGTAACACAAATATCAATCCTAATGTTAGTGGTTGATTAAAAAGGAAATTTTCTTATATACTCCCTCCGTCCCCCTGTTATTGTCTCATTTCCTATTCACTTGATCAACACAAATCACTCTTAATCTCTTACTTTATGTATCAAATTTTTATCAAATTTGATTCTGGTTTTTGCGACTTTGTAAATCTTTTAATGTAGTTTATGAATATGTAATTTTCTTTTTCTAAAAATAATTTGAGTGCGGACAAGGATCTGTTTGTTTTATCGTCGGTCAACCATCGTAAACCGCAATGGGACAATAACATGGGGACGGATGAAGTACTATCTTTTGGTGTGCATTTTTATACACTCCTCTATTCTGCCCGTATGAATAGGGAGTTCATTTATCTAAAAATATTAAATATTTAGAAGTTGTTTAATTTGTGTACATAGATAAAGATGTATGAAAAGTGTACACAAGTTGTACATAAGAATGACCCATGTAAAATGAAGAACCAAAACAAGAAGACTATATACTTCCTCCGTCCCAAACACAACTTCTCACTTTTCTTAAATGGATGTCCCAAAATTAACTTCACACTTCTTCCTACTTTCTTATTTGGCAAATTATCTACATCAAAACAGTGTCAAACAGTGCCAAACAGTTCTAAACAGTGTCAAAACAGTATCAAAATGGTAAAATTTACCCCTCAGTAAATTTATTTCCTTAAAATGTGTGTAAAATGAAGTGTGAAGTTATTTTTGGGATGAAGGGAGTAATAGTTTTTTCATAATAATCTAAGCATGGAGGATTGCACAAATGTAAAAAAATGGAAATTATTTGTGTATGCATATAAGGTATACAAAGGTATATAAAAAGATGTACACAAAGAATGACCGATTAAAAATGAAGACCTACGGTAAGAATGCTACACAATAATACTTTGTACGTATTTTGTAATCTACGTGTCGAGGTTTGGACTTTTGTAATACTGGAGTTTATACTACCCTAGTCGGTTAAATTCGGGTTTTATTACGGTCAGCTTCATCAAATTCGGGTTTTACACAGCTTGCAACCAGCGGCTCCCCACCAAATGAATCCACTATTTCTATTGCTATCCTCTCCCTCTGGTCTATCTGCTTGGTCCAAAAGATTGAAGGCTCACTCCAAGGCCCCCCACCCCGACCCGACATGATTGTGTGGAGGTTAATCACGGTGACTCAGTCAGCAAAGCGGCAGTAGGTTTTATATATACACGTGTGCACCAGAGGTCCAGCCTTATTTCAGGTTCTGTAACCTCCACACGACCGCTGTGGTTTCGAACCTTGGTCACTTGGTCCAATTTTCCCACCACTCGACCAACTGAGCTACCCGTGCGGGTTTGGCCTCATCCGCTTAGCTACTCATCTGTGTTAGTTTTTACATTTATATCTTCTCACTTTTCTTATTTGGTTGTAACATTTATATCTTTCCATTTCTAAATTTTCTCATCATACCTTCAATAATTTTGAAAAAACACATTATTACAATTACTTTTTTGGGATTTATTTTTCATTCCATCACACTATTTCATTATTTTCCTATCATATCCTTAATAATGTATATCTCCTTTCGTTATTCTTAATCTCACCTACTTTTAAACGGGAAGATATAAATGTTGCGGAGGTAGTATCTATTATGGGACAATTGGTATATCGTGGGAGCAGCCCAGGGTGAGCATGCTGCTCCCACACCAAAAAGGTGTGTTACTGTTCATGCGCGTGAACAATAACTTCTTTTTTATTTATTTCATTGTCCCATTAACAGAATGGTGTAACTCGCGTGTAAAGAATATAACTCACGCTGATAAAAAATGTAATTAGAGGCGAGTCGAAATGTAACTTGTCTTATACGGATTATAAGAAATAAAACATTGATTTTAATGAAAATAAGAAGTCTAATTTCTCAATTACCATGTGCTTGGTATACCAGTACACCACGATATAATTTGCTATTATGGGATGATGTTATCGGATGAGACAATACCTTACATCAATGATTGAGGGCCAACAATTCTTCCATAATTATTGGACAACAGCTTCAAATTTCATCATACAAATTTGTAGAAAATAATGTCCATTAATACCTAGTTAACTACTTAACTTCCTCTAACACTCGAATATGTAAAAATGTTTCCTCACCCAAAACAAGCTGTCATACGCTACGCTATTATAGTAGTTCCAATACAAAATTTGAAATTATCCACATATGAAGTGAGAACAAAAGTTAATGAAGATCTATAGTGCAATACTCATCCATCTCTTTATTTCACACATTTTCTAGATCGCGTTGTGAACTTGTGACTGAAGTTATTGATAAAAAGAAACTAAAAACATACTCTATATATTTCATAAAAAAAATCTATTAATTTAATTTTATGCATCTCTCTCAGCTCTTTTAAAATGTGTACACTGATACATACACACAAGATTGTATTTATTCAATATGGCCGCTCGCCAATATAATTATACTTGTGACAGAAATTATTAATAGGAGTAAAAAATAACTAAAAACAAATAAGATCATAAAAATATTTATAAGTTTAATTTTATACATATCTCTGTGTACATACATGCACACATGATTGTATTGGAGATCTTCTTGGTTAACCACAAAAAAAATAAAGGATTCACACCCATTTGGCATATCCCTTCCAAAATCTTGATGTGGTAATTTCGAAAAATACCTGTCAAAAATTTTTTGTGTAATTGATTCAATATGGCCGCTCACCAATATAATTTCCAGGTGGATAATAATTACACGTCATGAAAACATCACCATCATCACAAACAGACCTCACACACCCAACCCTAGACGTTTTTCTCCACACAATCTGAGTGTAATGGCCACAGACCTGCCCATCCTCACAAGAGTTGCTCCCATAGTCATAATACTTCTGCTCTGCAGCCCAGGCGTTGACCGCGTCGCTCGGGGTCCAACTGGTCCCACTCCCCCAATACAAGTTCTCCCCGAGCTTGAAATCCCCCTCCGGGAAGGAGTGCACCAGCCGGCAGTCTGCCTTCCTCTGGCCTGCCCACCACCTGGCGTAGCTCTCCAGCTGCGGGTCCCACACCAGCGGGGCCTCCCACTTGGCCGCCCTCACCAGGTTGTGCTGGAACAGGAACCGTACGGCCTCTCCTAGGCAGTTCCAGCAGAGCTGTTTGGAGATGGTGTAGATGGTTTCATTGGTAAGGTTTTTCATGGGAGGTAGTGATGATGATGACGTGGATGCCATTGAGAGAGTTAGTAGAAGGAGAAAATGAAGGGTGGTTTTCATTTTTTGGTTGGTTATGGCCTGGCTCAAATTACTGAAAGCTACTGATCGAATATGAAGGTAGTTTTGAGAAGGTTATGTTCTATATATAAAAAAAAGGATGACACCCCCTTCCTGAGGAGCCCCTAATCCCGATCGGACGATACGTTGGGAGGATGTCAGTTGCCGGGATTCTAACCGAGGACCTAACCCTTGTGGCACTCCCTTGCTACCAGTTGAGCTACGTCCACCGCATATATAATGTATAGATAGAGCAGAAAATAATTACAGAATATTAGAATAATACTCATAATTCTCCAACAGTACTACGAAATTGGTTGAATCGGCCAATTATGTTGAAATATATGAATTTCTGACTAATTTTGCTGGATTGGCCGATTCTACCGACTTATCTAAAATTATTTTAAAATATTTTTTATTAATAAAATAAAGAAAAAATTATATGAAAAAATAGCACAGTTAAAATGATCTTCTACAATAACTTCGGTCAATATTGTTAAAAAAGTAACTTCAACCTTACTTTTTATTATTATCACACAATTCAACGTGTGAAATAAAAAATTACGTGTTTAGAAAAAAAGTTGACCGATTAGCCTGATAAGCCGAAAAAGAGTGTCACCAGGCTATAAAATATAAGTGCAAAAATATGAATTAATGTTTAATACGTACGTAGTACTTCTAATTACTTAAATAAAAAGGTGTCATAATTTTTCATTAGTAGCTAATAATTAAGTAGCTTTCACCAGGAATTACTTTCTTACTCCGTATTAAATTACTATTCCAAACCATCCATGCCTCCATGCATATGGAATATGCATGATTGTTTGAAATTATAAGACCGTGAACTTCTTTAACATTGAGGTAGTGGCGTAACTCGCATTGTTTATTCGAACGCACAAAAGGTGGGAATGAATATTAATTTTCTTAAACTTTCATTTGAACATTATTTTAGACAATGTTTCTGGGCCTACCTTTGCAACCAGAATATTTACAACAAGGAGAACCATCCATGGACGGAACTTTCCAAATAGCAGTGTCCTCTCATGCCGGAATTGAAGATCTTGGTATCTGTGAAGGATGGAGGACCCTGCAGCACATGGATTGCAATCATTGAATGCCCACCGGGAAGGGGATTACTTACCCAAAAATGACGTTTGTACACACTCTTATACACACTTTTGTACACACCTATGTCTGTGAAAGCTTTTTTTTGTCTGTGAACATCGATTCATAGACAATGTTTTGCACAAACAAAATATTGTCTGTGAACCGGATTCACAGACAAAAAAAAACTTCACAAACATGATGTGTATAAGATGTGCACATGGGTGTGTACATCAAGCATGATTGTTACTTACCCGGCACCCCTATCTACCAGATGAGCTAGAGTTTTGTTTCGTCAACACACCAGCTTACACCCCTATAATGTAATTGTTTGTGCACAGACAACTACGTTTGAGTTTAGTAAAAGGAGATATCTGTGACCCAAATTTCTATGCATAGATAATTCTTTTTTTGGAATCACAGATACTTCCCTTTTACTAAACTCAAACGTAATTGTCTGTGCTTAGACATTACAATTTTATAAGTCTCTTTAACTACGCGCATCACAATTTCTTTTAATATTATCTTTATAATTTGTTTGTTTTATCATAAATTTTATTGCATCTAAAGCCTGAAAATTGTTGTATTTCGAATGACAATTAATTAAATCAAGTGAAGTCTAATGAGAACAAAGAAACAATTCAAATGGCATGTCAGCTAAAATCGCGGGGAAACACTATTTTGCGGACTAATTAACATGTGCTCAAAATTTACATTCTGGTATTGAAAACCAATCTAAATTGCGGCGCAGATTATACCGTATGACCGGTATATGGTGAGCACCGTATATCGGCATACAGATTTCTTTATTTTTTTTCCTTTTGTTTTTAAAAAATGGTAATAACTTTTTTATTTTTGATCCGATTTTTATAAAATTTATATCAACATTTTTTATTTTTGATGATCTTTCAATGAGACCAATATTGCTTATGTAATTTTATGAAATTATCGAACTATTATATTAATGAGTATTGGATTATAAGGAAAATCGAACTAAATTTAATACAGAAAAATAATTGTGTAAATCACAATTTATCTTAAAATTGTGTATATATAAATTTTATTGTAATATGTATTTATACATGTGAGTTACATATTTTTATGCGTAAAGTTACATATTTTTATACGTAAAGTTACACACACACACACACATATATATATATATATATATATATATATATACACACGAGTTGCATTTGGCCTGCCTGAACGCGAGTTACATATTTTTACATGTAAAGTTACATATTTTTTCATGTCAAGTTACATATTTATACACACGAGTTACATATTTATACACACGGGTTGTATTTGACCTGTCTGAACACGAGTTACATATTTTTACACGTAAATTTACATATTTTTTCACGTGGAGTTACATATTTGTACACACGAGTTGCATTTGGCCTGACTGGACGTGAGTTACATATTTCTACACGTAAAATTACATATTTTACATAGGTTAATATAATAGTTCGATAACATGTTAAAATTACATACGCAATATTGATCTCATTTGAAAGATCATGAAAAATAAAAAATGCTGATATAAATTTTATAAAAATCGGATAAAAAATAAAAAAGTTATTATCATTTTTTTAAAAAAGAGAAATAAAAAATAATACTCTCCGGCTCAAACCGGATGCGGTGGTCCAGGTGCCCTGACCCTTGGACCGGTGTTTTTTGTCGTGGCATCAAAATTGTCCCTAAAATCATGAGCTCGTGACTGTGGGGCCCAAGGTTGCCTACACTGAGCCCGTGAACCCCTTGATTTGTGGCATTGAACGTGTCCTGCAATCCATCATTCCAGATTGTGCACGTGTCGTGCGGTCGTGCTGCAGTACCTTAGAAAAGAGCTTTTATTTGAAAAATAAGTTTTGCGACAAAAAAACGCTTGAATGTGTAGGAGTGGGTATATAAAGTGTATACCCAAATCTGATTTATTCATTCAAGTAAAAAATATGACAAATGATGATGATGATATAATACGCATGAATATCCTTGCGTTTGTTTTAGTGGGGTGGCGTAACTTCAGGTTAGAAAAACACCCCATTTGCTAAAAAGTAAACACCATTACTGAAATTAAATGCAAACATAACTTCTGCTTGATAATTTAAGAACAAAAAAAAAATGCTTCTCAAGCAATTTTACATTAAACTAAAACATGCTTCTCAAGCAATTGTAGCAGCATATGCTAGATCAGCGGCAGGCCAGCAGCATCATCTTCGGCAACGAGTTCATCGCGAAAGAGGAGCTTAAGGTATGGCAGGACTGTCGGAACCACGGGAAGATCTGCTGCATTTATATGTTGGGTATTACGACATAATTATTTGTACATTTGTATTGATGTATATTATCATCATATATTAGTTATTGTTGTAATTCTCTCTTATCACTTTAGATTAGAATAGTTAGTTAGAACAGCCTTATCACAACTCCTTGTAACTACTATAGATACATTACATTGTACACGTTACTCAATGAATATCAATTATCATTCCTCTACATGGTATCTAGAGCTTATTAAAAAAAAATCGGTCCTTCATCATGGTCATCACCGACGCCACGACCGTCGTCTCCATCACCGCTTCCACCCATTTTCCCATAAAACTTACCCAATCCAACTACCCCGTCTGGAAATCCCAAGTCTATGCCGCTCTCATCGGCCTTGGACTTGAAGAGTATGTTGATGGCACCATCACCATTCCCAGTCAATTTCTTGATCCTGCAAAATCACGCCCTAATCCATGCTTCACTGTCTGGTTCCACCAAGACAAAACTATCCTCAGTGCCTTGCTCGGAAGTTGCTCCGATGCAATCCAACCGGTTATATCATCTGCCGCTACTGCCCGACAAGCTTGGGACCGGCTATCCCTTACTTATGCGAGTTCATCTCGTGGACGGATCATCTCTCTAAAAACCACGCTGGCTCGGACTACGAAGGGGACACGATCCATCACTGCATATCTTACCGAGATACAAGCTATTGCTGACGCGCTCGCCTTGGCACAAAATCTTGTTTCCGATGAAGATCTCGTCATTAACATTCTGAACGGCTTGGGATCGGAATACTCCGAAATCATATCCGTTATTCGTGTGCGACAAACTGCTCTACCCATAGCGGAACTCCAAGATATCCTATTAGAACATGAATCCCGAATTCAAGAAGCTGCCTAAAGAAGTACAGAATTTTCTAGAACGTTGTGGAGAATCCTAGAGAAGTCTAGAACTCTCTAGAAGCTTGCGGAATAGTGTTGAATCCTCTAAAATATTCTGGAGATGTGTGGAACCTTCCGGAAGCTTATGGAAGAGTATGGAAGCATATGAAAGGAAATGGAGAGGTGCATAGATTCCTTAGAATTCTCTAGAATAGGTAGTCATGTGCTCCTTGGAATTCTCTAGAATAGGTAGTCATGTGTAGATCATTCTAGAGAACTATTTTCACCACTCATTATGGAGGTGGAGTAGTATAAATTAAATAGGAGTAGAGACCTCCATTCCTAACCATCGTAGCAATCCTAACCAAGAGTGAATCCACTTCTTAGAGCGAGAAAGTTAGAGAGCCTCTTTGAAAGAGAAGAGAGATAGCTTGGGAATTTCCTATCCTCAAGCTTGAGTGAGCCATCATTGAGTGAGACAATTTTATAACATCCTTGTAAATCCTACTATTCTTTTGTATAGTGGAAGAATCTCCATATTGGAGAATTTAAATCGTGTGCTTTCATTACCACCTTAATTCCTAAGTGTCTATCTTAACTTCACGAAGTGAGAAAAGTCCGGAGTTTTTCCCAACATTATACTCATCAGATCAAAAGCAATGCAGGTTTTATGCATGTGGGATTCGTCAAACACCGGAATCTTAGGGTATTTTTGGCTGAAGAGTGTAAGGATGACGCGATGCGCTCAGGCAGTGTCCCCCGTCTCAACCGCTTCCTTTGTTGTGCTGTGGTTTCTTGCTATGGCCTCTTCCAGCATCCCATCTTCAAATGTAGTCTGCACCAACCAATAAAACTAAATGTGATTCTTGTATCCAAAAAAGTGGTTTCTTGTTTATATTTGTTGTTCAATGCAGAATGGAAGGGAAGAAAACTTATAGGGAATGGGAAAAAACTAGAACTGAATAAAATCGATTTGCTATCTGTTCAAACTCTTTTTTATTTATTCATTTCTACTATCTAAAGATTTAGAATTCTATATATACATTTATTACAATTTAAAAATATTAATTGTAATTCCTACTAAAATTTTATCAATTCTTTCTGAAACTTTATTAATCCAAGACCTGAAAGATAGGTTAACTATAAATCAGAGAAATTGTGAATACCGAACGATCAAAAATATCAAACACCTTAAATACCATGGATTTTATTTTTATTTATTTTAAATAATTTAAATATTTTAAATGTTATTTAGTTTTATTAAACTAAAACTTATGTGACAAAAAAATATCAAAAAATAGCATTAGATTCAATAAAAACTAAAGAAATCAAAACCTACTTAGTATTATATTTTATAGCTTAGATGGATAGTTTTCAATCATTCTGACAATTTTCATTTTATATGTGCTTGATAGTCATGTAAGTCAACTGTCTTTGAGGTCCTAGGTTATAAACAAATATTTATAAGAATTTTGCTTAGTGTACACACCATATGCACAAGTTGTACATAGTATATGATGGAGTATATGGCCCGGGAACACCCGGCCCACAGACTCCTACTACACCAATGAAGGCCCAACCGGCCCAGGAAGCTCAAGCAGGCCCAAACCACAGCGCCCAGAGTACCAAGCAGCCCGCAAAGCGCACCAGGGGTGCCTTCGACCCCCTGGCCGAAGGCTCTAAACTCTCACAGAACGGGTTTTTCAAGCAAACTAAGAAACTGGGAGAAAAACGGCGAGAACAGTAGCCCTCGACACCAGGAGCCCTCGGCACCAGGGGTGCCCTCGGTTTGAGGAGCCCTCGGCTACTGCTCTATAGCCGAAGGCACCTCTCCCGACATGATATCCGCCTCCCATGCGTACAGATCACCGTACCCTGTACAGATGTCCCATCCAACAGCCGCATTAAATGCGGCCACATGCGGCTGCCAACGCCAACCAGTTGAGGTGACCTCTCGGCCAATGAGCGCTTGACACGTGTCCCTGTCCGGCATTTATTGCTACTATAAATAGCACCCCATTTCCCCATTTGTAACCACGCTGAAAACGCTCCACACTTATAATATACTTTCTCTCTCTACATTTACTTGCTCTGACTTCTCTCTTGTTACTCCCCGTAATAACCCCTCGGATATATACCCCCCGGGTAGACCATCCATCATTTGGTGCTCTCGTTGAGAGGTCGAACAATCGAGTAAGAAACCCTCCCCCTTTGCCAAACACTAGCCCTCTACCAAAATGGTGAGAACAACACGTGCCAACTCCAAAAACGTAGAAGACAAGAACCTGGCCCTCGGCGACGTCAACGCTCCCGAAGCCTCTCACAGGGCTCCTGAGGGCGGTGTCATCGCTGGGCTGGAACAGACGGCTGTCGACCTACGCCTTCAGATCCAACAGAATGCCCCCGATGCCCGCCTCGGCATCGAGGCCAAGAAGAAAAACCGGAGCGATGACCAAGTCAGCCCTCCGGTTCTCACCATCGACGTGCAATCGGCGCTCTCCGCCTTCATCCAAACGCTCACTCAGAACCCGGGTGCCTTCGGCACCCTGGCTCCGGCTCAACCCCAGGTTGGGGAGAACATCATACTTCCCCCTCTGTCACACCCCTTCAGAAACCCCACCCCTCGGGTTAGGAACGACGAAGGGGTAGTGGCCCAAGATGCGTCCTCCCAGGTAGTTCAGTCCCGGGACCGCCACAATGACAACAGAGAAAGGCCCCGCACTTCCGCCCTCAACCGGCTCGGAGGAGGGCCAGACCGCCGAGGGGTCCAAGACCGCCTCGGAGGGAAAGCACTCCAAAGGCCCCAGGAAAGCGGAGGGTCTGTCTCGAGGGCAGACGAGGAGCGTCCCCCTCGGGACAAAGGCAAAGCACCCCTTAATGCCAATGATGTTCGCCACCAGATCAACCAGGCCCACTCGGCCCGGGTTCGTTCGCAGGGGGCGGATACCCTCCCGAAGGATCCCCGGGACGAAATTATTGCGGCCCTCCAACGCCGGCTTGACGAAATGGAGGCCAACAAAGCTCACGCCACCACCTCCACCCCTCATTCAGACCTCAAATACAAGGCCATGATGGCCAAAATGGAGGAATTACAGAAGAAGGTAGCCGAGGGCTCCGGGGAACCCGTCATCCAGCTCCGGACCCGGACGCCATTTACCCCAAAGGTACTAGCGGCCCGGATCCCGGAAAAATACCGAGGGCAACACATACAGCCCTACAACGGGAAGACGTACCCCCAGGAACACTACAACAAATATCAAAACAGCATGATGATGGTAGGGGCATCGGACGAATATTTGTGTCGTTGGTTCCTCTCCACCTTAGAGGGGCCGGCGTACGAATGGTTCAACCGGTTGCCCGAGGGCTGCATTGATTCGTGGCAAGAACTCGCCCAGCGATTCTTGACGCAATTTGCCGGGAGGCGTCGCACGAGGAAGCACTTCTCCCACCTCCTAACCATACGCCAGAAGAGGGATGAGACCCTTCGGGACTTCCTGGAGCGCTGGAGGACGGAGGCCGACAAAGTCGACGGGGCTGATGACGGGACCCTCCTGGCCCTCCTACAGACCGTCCTCCGCACTGGCAACTTTTCAAGGAGCCTCATCATTGAACCCCCCGCGACTACATAAGGGCTTTGCAGCGGGGGGACCGATATGCTGAGGCCGAGGAGGTGGAAAAATACCACCAGCATCCGGATCAGCAGCCCCCGAGGGCTGACAACAAGAATAACCGAGGGCCGGGGGCTCCTCCAAATTACCCCAAGCCAAGCCCGGGGGGGGGTTATAAGAGCATCCCTAAGACTTGGGCACAGCCCATCCTCCTGGACCGCCCCCGGACACCATTGACGCACCCCGTCAGCATCATCCTTGATTTTGCCGAGGAGAGGGGCCTCGTTGAGCGCGATTCTCGCGCACCCCCGGAGGTACATGCCATCAACCCTCAGTTCCCCTACTATCGTTTTCATCGGCATCAGGGGCACAGAACCGATGACTGCCATCAGCTAAAGACGGCCATCGAGAGATTGATACAAGCGGGGCACCTGTCCCAATTTGTTCAGAGCCCTCGGCAGGAGGGACCTTCTCATCAGGGACCTTCCCGGAGGGCACCACACGAAGGTGAACGCTTGGGTAAACCCGAACACCATCCCCCTCGGCAAGAAGAGGGAGATCGGAAACTTGGAAGAAGAAGAGGAGGAGTACCCCCACTACCAGGAGAAAAAACGCCACATCCTCATGATCACCGGTGGCAATACAAGGGGCGATTCCACCAGCCAGCGAAAGAAGTGGGCTCAATCGCTTTACGTGGGGGAAGTCACTCATATGCCCCCGGTAAAGCGGCTGAGGGAGGAACCCATCACCTTCACCAACGCAGATCTCCCTCCTACTTCTTCTCCTCACAGGGATGCCTTGGTGATTCGGACTGAAATAAACGACACCATCATTCACCGAACTTACATTGACACGGGCAGCTCCGTCAATGTAATGTACCTCAGCACCTTCAGAGAGCTGCACCTGGAGAGGGGGTCCCTTCGGCCCATTAAGACCCCTTTTGCCGGCTTCACCGGCGACACTATTGATTCCGAGGGGGTAATAACCCTCCCGGTGATCTTCGGCGACGGGCTCCATAGAGCCCAGCTCGAAGTGGAGTTCGTCGTCGTCAACATCGACTGCGCCCACAACATCATCCTCGGCCGGCCAGCCCTCGAGGACCTCGAGGCCATCATCTCCATAAGGCACCTCTGCCTCAAGTTTCCCGCCGAGGGGGGCATTGGCTACTCCCGGGGGAATCAGAAAATCGCCCACGCCTGCTATCTTCAGGTCACCAAGAAAGTAAGTAAGACGGAATTCCGTATTGAAACCATCACCGGAACCATCGACCAAGAAGAAAAAAGGTCGAGGGCTGAACCAGACGAGGACGTAGAAGACTTTACACTCGATTCGGCCAAGCCGGAGAGAGTCGTGAAGATTGGAGCCCAGCTCCCTGAAGATCTGAAGACCGGTATCACCGACGCCCTCCGCGCCCACTCCACTGTCTTTGCATGGGGGCCGGAGGACATGTCGGGAATCAGCCGAAGGGTCATCACCCACCGCCTCTCGGTGGACCCCTCGGCAAAAGCAGTACAACAACGAAGAAGACCCCTCTCGGCCGAGAGAAGGGAATTTGTGAAGAAGGAGGTCGCCATGCTCCTCTCTATTAAGCACATCAAGGAGGTGAAATATCCCTCATGGCTGGCCAACGTAGTCCTCGCACAGAAGCCCCCTACCTTCCGCATGTGCGTGGACTACACCGATCTCAACAAGGCGTGCCCTATGGATCCATTCCCTCTACCAAATATTGATCAACTGGTGGATGAGACCGCAGGGTGTGAGATCATGTCCTTCCTCGATGCCTTCCGAGGGTATCACCAAATTTTCATGCACGAGGAAGACGCCGAAAAAACTGCCTTCATGACTCCCGAGGGCATCTTCTGCTACCTAGTAATGGCCTTCGGCCTAAAGAACTTGGGGGCCACCTACACCCGGATGGTGGCCCGGGTCTTTCAAGCCGTCCTAGGGCGCACCATGGAGGCCTATGTTGACGACATGATCGTCAAGAGCAAACAATCTTCCAACCATGCCGACGACCTCCGGGAAATCTTCGCCATCATGCAAAAATTCAACCTTCGGCTAAACCCGAAGAAGTGCACCTTCGGCGTCTAAGGGGGCAAATTCTTGGGCTACACGGTGAGCCGAAGGAGTATTGAGGCCAATCCCGAAAAGATCCAGGCCATCATCGACATGGAACCCCCACGCAATGTGAAGGAAGTTCAACGGTTGATGGGCCGCCTGGCAGCCCTCAACCGCTTTCTAACTAAATCAGCGGAGAAGTCTTTACCCTTCTTCCAAATCGTGAGGAAGACGGCTGGTTTTCAATGGACTTCAGAATGCCAGGAGGCTTTCGACGAGCTCAAACGATATCTATCTTCACCTCCTGTGCTCTCCAAACCCAAGGTAGGGGAGACCCTCTACCTCTACCTTGGGGTCAGCCCGGCAGCCATCAGCTCTGTGCTCATCCGGGAGGAAGACGACATCCAACATGCCATCTTCTACGTTAGCAGGACCCTAAGGGAGGCCGAGCTCAGGTACTCTCCTGTGGAAAAAACGGTGTTAGCCATCGTTTGGACCGTCAAGAAGTTGGGCCACTACTTTCAGGCTCACTCGGTTCAGGTCCTCACTCATCAACCCCTCAGCACCCTCATGAGGAGCCCCACCAGCTCCTCCCGCATGGTGAAATGGGCTATCTTCTTGAGCCAGTACAACATTGACATCCGTCCAAGGCCTTCCATCAAGGGCCAAGCCCTGGCGGACTTTGTGACGGAATGTACCGCAAGGGCAGCCACGGACGGGGAGCCCTCGGCTACCTCGGACGACTGGTGGACCCTCTACACCGACGGGTCCTCCGCGACCAAAGCATGCGGGGGAGGGGTAGTCCTCATTACTCCCGAGGGCTTCAGAGCCTACTATGTAATCCGCTTCTCTTTCAAAGTCTCCAACAACGAGGCCGAGTATGAGGCCCTCCTATGTGGCCTTCGGCTGGCTGCCAACATGAGGGCTCGGCAGATCCACATCAAATGCGACTCCAAGTTGGTCGTTGGCCAAATCTCCGAGGAATATGAGACCAAGGAGGGAAGAATGAAACAGTACAAGGAAGCGGCCAAGGAGTTGCTTAAGGTATTTGAGGCACACTCTCTCACTCAAATACCGAGGGCTCAGAACTCCGAGGCCGACATATTATCTAAGCTCTCGGCCGACTCCCCTGAGCACATCTCCAAAATTGCCAAAATTGAGGAACTCAGCCTCTCAAGTATCCATGCAAGCCCCATTATGAACATACAACAACGCCAAGAGGATTGGATCTCAGATATCACCGCCTTCATCTCCACAGGGCAGCTACCCGAGAATGAGACCCGCGTTAAACTGGCAAAGCTGAGGGCTCCTAGCTACACTATCGAAGATGGAAGGCTCTACAAACGATCTTACAATGGCAAGCTACTTCGGTGCCTTCATCAAGATGAAGCCGAGGTCGCAATGGAGGAAGTGCACAGTGGCACTTGCTCAGCTCACCAGGGACCCTTCTCCATGTCCCGAAGGCTCATTCTCCAGGGCTACTTCTGGCCAACCATGGCCAGAGATTGTGTTGACCTTGCCCGGAGGTGCACCGCATGTCAACATTTCCAGAAAGCCCCCGGCAGGCCAGCGGTCAACTATGCCCCCATCAGCACATCTGTCCCCTTTTCTCGATGGGGGATAGACCTTGTGGGCCCTCTGCCGAGGGGTACCTCCAACAACAGATACATCATTGTGGCCATCGACTACTTTACCAAGTGGGTGGAGGCTGAACCCCTCGCCAGCATTACAGAGGCGAAGTGCCGTCACTTCGTCCTCAAGAACATCCTCACAAGGTTTGGCGTCCCCCAGCAGATCATCTCCGACAATGGGACACAATTTGAGACAGCCCCCTTCTGTGCCCTTCTGGAGGCATGGGGCATCAAACACACCTTCTCCTCCGTTGCCTACCCTCAAGGCAACGGGCAGGTAGAGAATGCCAACCGGACCTTGCTCGAGGGCCTCAAAAAGAAGCTAGAGGCCGGGGGCGGTGGCTGGGTGGAAGAACTCCACAACATCCTTTGGGCCTACCACACCACCCCTCGGCGAGCAACAGGTGAAACACCCTTCTCCCTCTGCTACGGTTTTGAAGCCAAGGTTCCTACGGAAGTCACCCTTCCCACCCGGAGGGTGATCCAATATGACCCCGAGGTCAACGACAGCAACATGGCCCTCGATCTCCACCTCATTTCAGAACGCCGGGAGCAGGCCTTCACCCGGGCAGAAAATTACCGAAGGCAAGTCAAAAGCTACATCGACGTTAAAGTTCGCACCAGAGAATTCCAAGTGGGGGACTATGTCCTCCGGAGGAGGGAAGCCAGCCAACCGACCGAGGGAGGCAAAATGGCACCAAAATTCGAAGGTCCCTACATCGTAGCAGCCATCATCAAACCTGGAACTTACAAGCTCAAACGTCCCAACGGGAAAGAAGTCCCTAGGCACTGGAATGTACACCACTTAGTTAAATTTTATCAATAATGTAAGAGCGGCCAAGCCCTCATAACTAGTGAATGTACTATCCTATGGCCCAAGGCCTCCAATTTTGAAGAATGAAGATACATTCAAGACACCAAGAACAAAACACTTATGAGCGGCCAAGCCCTCATACCAACTACAGGCCCCAGGCCTCACCTCGAGAAGAACCCCCTCCGGCGTCAAGTGCCGAGGGCGGACACCATCAACACCTACGACAACAGTGAAAACACCATGTGTTTTCAGTCAAGACCCCTCGGTACCAAGTACCGAGGGAGGGAACTCCTATCACCGACGACAAGGAACGCCATGTGTTTCATTTCCCTTCGGCACCCAGTGCCGAGGGTACATCTCCACCTTCAACATCAAAAAAGAAAAAAAAGAACACCAAGTGTTCCTACAGAAGACCCCTCGGTACCAAGTACCGGGGGTACACTTCTCCACCTTCAACATCAAAAAAGAAAAAAAGAACACCAAGTGTTCCTACAGAAGACCCCTCGGTACCAAGTACCGGGGGTACACATCTCCACCTTCAACATAAAGAAAAGAACACCAAGTGTTCCTACAGAAGACCCCTCGGTACCAAGTACCGGGGGTACACATCTCACCCATCAACGTCAAATAGAAGAAGAACACTAGGTGTTCCTACAGAAGACCCCGCAGTACCAAGTACCGGGGGCTACATATCGAAACTAACACCAAGTGTTGTTTCTAAAGCCGTACCCCACGAGGACGCATATACCGAAGGCGCCACCATCGGTGTCGGCGGCACGTAGTGCCCCCGGCCATTTGCAACTAGTGTGCAAATGAAAACCCTTCCTTGAAACGCTTTCCGCGTCACTACCCCCAGGGTGTGACAGGCATGAGAAATGCCTAGGATTCGACTTTCAAAAACGGAACGCTTTCCGCGTCATCACCCCAAGGGCATGACAGGCACGAGAAATGCCCAGGATTCGACTTCCAAACTGAAACGCTCCCCGCGCCACCACCCCAAGGGTGTGGCAGGCCACGGACTATGTCTAGCGCCGAGGGGACAACTTTCAAAAATGAGGCGCTTTCCGCGCCATCCCCCAAGGGGAGGCAGGTTACAGACCACCATATCTTGTGCCCAGGAAACGACCCTCGATCCCCTCGGAACTCGGAAGGTTAACCCGAGGGAGGAGAGCCATTGGTGTATTCTGATGGTCTTCTGATAGGCCCAGTCTTACCAAGAAACCAAGTTTCTTGATGCCTTCCCTTCACCACCAACCAAAAAAAAAGGGTGAAGGGGAGTAGACTCAGCGAGAAATCAAAGAGTACACTCCAACAGATCACAACATGCCGAGGGCTCCCCACGAGAACACCTCCGGTAACTGAAGGCTCCTATTTCCCGAAGGATACTACTCAAACAAATATCATCAAGAAACGGCTAAGTCCACTGCTTGGTCACCTCCGGTCACACAAACACCGAAGGCTTCAACAATACGAAGGGACTGGACTATCCAAAGTCTACTAAACGGTAATTCAAACAAATACCGAGGGCATCTGTTATGAACTAATACCGAGGGTCCTTACCCCATGACAAGGGACACAACTGGCTAAGTCAAACTCTACAACTTTTCAAGTTGTTGCCGAGGGCGCATACTCCTCATCGGCTTCCTTTACAACAACAGGAGTCCACACTTTTCCTAAGTCCACACTTTTGGAAAATGACAACAACCGGAGGCTAATATATCATCTGACACCCGAAGGCATCTATTACAAGTCATCAAAGGCCAACCGAGGGGGCTTATTTCAAAATATCTTCCCCTCGGACAGACTCCTCATTGACCGAAGGTTCAAACATCTACAGCACAGTTTGAGATTTTTCTAAGTCCCACATATTTGGCCCTCGGTCAAATACTCATACAACACAAGGGCCTCACGACCACCCGAAGGGTCCTATTCATATACCCGGAGGGATCTACATCCGGAAGCTCAACATCAATTTACGCTTGGAAAATATTCTAAGACCTAAATGAGTAGCCCCCGGGCATCCCGCAAAAGTGACACAGAGTCAGAGGGCACCCATCACCCGAAGGCGACACAAGGAAGCAGCACTTAGAAAAAATTCTAAGTCCTAAAGATTGGGCCCCCGGCCCAAGCGTTATTACAGCTAAGGGAATATGATAGCCGAAGGCTATGCGATACAACAGCACTTAGAAAATTTTCTAAGTCTTACGTATTTTTCCCCCGGTTAACTACTCATACATCAAGAAGGGATGCCATCTCCCGAAGGCTCCCAAGGGAAAATCTACACTTAGAAATCTTTCTAAGTCCTACATATTTCACCCTCATCTCAAGGGACCTAATAGCCGAAGGCTACCTATCAATCAAAGGCTACAGTACACGAGGAATCAACACTTAGAAAAATTTTCTAAGTTCTAACTATTGCTGAGCCCTCGGTTGTATATCCAGCAAAGGGTGCCCAACTACCGAAGGCTACAACCATATTCAAACACTTAGAAAATATTCTAAGTCCTAGACATACATTCAAAAAGGAGAAGGCATACATTCAAACATAGGGTGCATTCAAATGTGAAAAGCCCGGAGGCAGCATGCATTCATCAAGAACAGAAGTAAGTGTAAAATTACAAACAGGCCGAAGCCGAAGGATCAATGGTGTTCATTACAAAAATTTGTTCAGAAATCTCTAAGTACAAATCTTCTCTGTGACTTCAGCATCATTATCTCCGAGGGCATCTTCTACGGCGGCTTTGGAGGAGACTTCTTCCCCAGTAGCATCACCTCCGACGGCTCCGCCCCCATCACCCCCCATCATCACAGAGTCGTATATCGTCGGCCGCTCTTCGCCTGGGGGGAGGGGAACTCTCACATCTGGTTGCAATGGAGGGAGGTCGTATGCTGAGGGGTCAAATTGGTCGAGGGATACGCCAAAGTGCCTGGCGAGCCTCCGGTAAATCAGATGCTGGGTAAAGAATTCACCCCCCCTGGTAGTAGGCGTCGCCCCTATCTGTCAGCCAGTCAACCCCGGGGCCTTCTACCCAAGCATCCACCGAGGCCGCCACCACGGAGGCCACCCACTCCTTATGGCCCTCGGGCCTCCAGCCCTCGGCAAGGAACTCAGCAACTGCCTCCTCTCGGGCCTTGGCCACAGCTCCCTCCTTGGCGGTCTTGGCCTCATCGGCAACCTTCTTCGCCGCCTCGGCAGCAACCCTCTCGGCCTCTGCCTTGCCCTCGGCTATGCCATCGGCCTTGGCCTTCTCCGCCGCCGCCTTCGCCTCCCGGAGGGCCTCCTCCAGCTGCGCAGCATGCTTCATCGCTTCAGAGTTCTTGCGAATCAGCCCCTCCATCTTCTTATCTTGCTCGGCCTCGTGAAGGCACCATTCCTCACGCCTCCGGGCCTGTTCCCCGAGGGCTATGCAGGCCTGCAAACAATGATGAAAGGAGTTAGATTATTCCCCAGAAAAAATATACTAAATTGATAAGAGAAGGAAACAGGAAGCAGATACTTACAGTGAGAGAGGACCGGAGGATCCTGTTCTCGAGGGCATCATCGTCGTATGTCTCGAAGACTTCTCTATCCATCTTCAGGGTGATGCCCCGCAGGAAGGCCCTCGACGCGGCAGTACCATGCATCAGTGAAGCACCGGGGGCAAGGGAGAGTTGAAGGATCTCCCGGGGTAATTCCTCCGGGGGGAGATTCACCGGAGCCTTCGGGGTGGCCAAGGCCAGAGGCCCATCAGTGGAGGGCATGTCATCAATAATTAGGAGGGGGGCCGCCCCCTCAACAGCGCCCCCGGCGGCTTTCTGCTTCTTGGTAGGGGGCTCCACCCCCTCACCACTCCTCTTCTTCTTCACGGCCGCCTCGGCCTTCGACCCCCTGGTCCCCTCAGCAGCATTGACATCCTCAGCAGAAGGCTCTACGTCCTTCGGGAAAAACGCATCGGCTAGCTTCTGGCCCGAGGGCCCCTTCTTCTTTGCTTGGGTTTTGCCCTTCCTCTTTGCAAACAGAGCATTGGCATTCATCTTGCTGCCTGCAAAGAACGACAACAACAAGTTAAAGGGTTAGAACCGAGGGGTCAGAAACACAACGACAAACATGACAAAAAAAATTTCTAAGTATAAAAGTCGTAGCCCTCGGCCACTACCTCCTGCTCCCCCGAAGGCTTTATCATAGAGAGGATACTTCTCATCAGTCTCCCCAATGAACCGATACCTCAGGAATCCGAGGGCATATAGGTCTTCCTCGAGGGTGCAATCCTTGATGGTTATGTTCTTTTTCCGACCCTTCGGGATCTTGGCGAGTTTCAGGCCATCCTTCTCTAGGGCGATACTCCCCACCTTCTCGTGGCGCCGAAAGCGGTCCCTTAGCCCCCTCGGGAAGGGGTTCTCGGCCAACCGGACATAGCACCATCTGTCTTTCCAGCCCTTGTTGAACGAGGGCGCCTCGGTGAACAACTTGAACTTCGCTACCTGCTGCAAATTGGCGAAGCCCTCGGCATTCGCGTGCCCCCCTCGGCACAAGTTGAAGCTTTGGAAGAAGAGGTCCAAGCTTGGGGTAACATCCCTCGTCCGGCACAGGTGCAGGAAGCCAGCAATATATGAATGGTTGTTGGGGGTAAGTTGGCAAGGGATGAGTCCAACGAACCTGAGGTACTCCCGGAGAAATGGGTGCAGGGGGAACCGGAAGCCCATTGACACCGATAGGATGTGGACAGCAATACATCCCTCGGGTGGCCGAGACAGCAAATCATCGACGCCTGGCTCCACCACTTCGGCCGAGGGCCCAACGTGCAGCTGCGTGACGTACAAATCAGCCCTGTCCACCTTCGACTTGATATCGAGGGCCTCGGTATTTAGCCAGGTATACCCCTCCGGCATTTCAACAGGCCCCCCAGCACCAGCGGCAACACTCTTCTTCTTGGGGGCAGCTACCTTGGCCTTCTTCTTCCCGGGGGCCACCCGGATGGGAACTGCGTTCAGCGGCTGAGAGGTACTGGCCTCACCAGCACCCCGAGGGGGAAGGACGGCCACAGTAACCTTCGCCCTCTCCTTTTCCTCTTCCTCCTCAGCAACTTGGACGACGAGGGCCAACTCCTCATCTTCGGCGGTTCGCTCGAACTCCTCCGCCTCGGCCTCGGCCACCAGATCCTTCTGCACCTCGGTGGCGAGAGCTGCATCACCACCATCCGAAGGCTGACTGCTGCTGGACTCCACGTCGAAGATGCTTTCATCCTCGACCGAGGGGTCCCTCGAGATGTCCTGGGAATCGCTCGCGGACGACATTTTTGACAAAGTACGCACCTGAGGTTTCGAAGGCTTTCTACAGGACTCTAACCCTAATCTAAGGCCAGAGGGCGGAACTTACTAAAAGTTTTGAGAGGAAAGCAGGACACTGACCTTGAAAGCTGAGTTTTGACCGGGGGCTTGAGCTTTCTCTCTCTAGAAAATTTGGCAGAGCTTCGCTAACAATATCGGACGCACAAGGAGAATGGTCTGGCCATGGGGTATTTATAGACTCCGGAATCCGGGCTTGGGCCCAAAAATTGGGCCTCCGGCCAAGCGTCATCATTACGCACCGCATTTTCACCCAACCGATGACGCCGCCCATGGGCAGCCAACCGCCACGCGCCACGTGTACCCCCCCTAACAGCTATAACCTGACGTTACATATTCCAACGGCTATATTTCCAACGGCTACATTCTATGAGCCCCCGTATTTTCCCACATCACTCCACTTCATCAAGGAGAGCCTCCGGGTACACTTACCCAGAGACGCCCCCGGTTTGTGCCCCACACAGTACATAACGGACGCCTTCGGCATCACTTCTTCAGAAGCCCAAGGCTTCATATAGGGCCACCTCTCGGGGATTCCCCCTCAGCACTGTAAGGACCGAATCGCCCCCGGGAAGTATGCCTCATTGACGGACAGCATACAACATGCAGGTAATGGGAGCCCCCGGATATCCCCATCACCAACTAATCAACGAGCAGGGGACCCCCCCGTGACAATTCAACTACTGCCCTCATCCATCGCGCCCTCGATCTCCAGATTGAGGGGCTCCCCTTCGGCTAATCAACAAATGATCCCTCAGGCAAAGGAGAGCCTTCGGCTAATCAGCACATGAGCCCTCAGGAAAAGGAGAGCCTTCGGCGTTACCGTTATTCTCCATTTTTGACCAAGGTTTCACATTTTCGATTCATCGTTGGGGGAATTCGGTGCACTCTTTTTCCCTCAATAGGATTTTTTTCCCCAGGGTTTTTCCTAATGAGGTTTTTAACGAGGCATCGCCCTAAAATGAAACGAAAAGCGTCAACCTTCGGCCCACAACAGCAATGCAACTACTCTACTCCTTTTCACCACTTTACAAGTGTCTCAAGGAGTGGGGGACTGGAGGACCCCCTCGGGAAAATCACTAAAAATACAAAATGGTGAAAATTTCCAACAAACAGCAAAGCAAGCCCTCAAGTCCCGACATGTGGGTAACTGAGGGACTGCCTTCGGCAGGGACATAAAAGCAACAACTCCTCACCAACTTCAGAGATTACGACAGGACAACATCAAAGGGCAAGCACAAATTACTCCTTTTCCCTCAAGTACCTTTCGGCAAAAGGAGTGAGGGACTCCTGATGGAGTATATGGCCCGGGAACACCCGGCCCACACACTCCTACTACACCAATGAAGGCCCAACCAGCCCAGGAAGCTCAAGCAGGCCCAAACCACAGCGCCCAGAGTACCAAGCAGCCCGCAAAGCGCACCAGGGGTGCCTTCGGCCCCCTGGCCGAAGGCTCTAAACTCTCACAGAACGGGTTTTTCAAGCAAACTAAGAAACTGGGAGAAAAACGGCGAGAACAGTAGCCCTCGACACCAGGAGCCCTCGGCACCAGGGGTGCCCTCGGTTTGAGGAGCCCTCGGCTACTGCTCTATAGTCGAAGGCACCTCTCCCGTCATGATATCCGCCTCCCATGCGTACAGATAACCGTACCCTGTACAGACGTCCCATCCAACAGCCGCATTAAATGCGGCCACATGCGGCTGCCAACGCCAACCAGTTGAGGTGACCTCTCGGCCAATGGGCGCTTGACACGTGTCCCTGTCCGGCATTTATTGCTACTATAAATAGCACCCCATTTCCCCATTTGTAACCACGCTGAAAACGCTCCACACTTATAATATACTTTCTCTCTCTACATTTACTTGCTCTGACTTCTCTCTTGTTACTCCCCGTAATAACCCCTCGGATATATACCCCCCGGGTAGACCATCCATCAGTATAAAAGCAAAAAATATTCTAACTTTCCTATCCCTTCCTTTCTCGGTTCTCTCTCCCTTCTCTCTTCCCCCTCTCTCCCTTCTCTCTCTTTCCTCTTTATCTTCTTCATCCTCCTCCTTTCTTCTTCATCCTTTTCTTTTCTACCATTTTATATCAAAGTTTTTTCATTATTTGCACAAAATCAGCTTACTCATCTTATTCCATATGTTTTTATTTTTTTCTAATTTTTTTCACATTACATGTAAATTGATTACACATACAACTACATCATTCATTTGGATGTATATAGACAATTAACTTTTTTGATTCACCCAGACAATTAAAATTGATCACACCGATAACTAAAGTTGATCACACAGACAACTATTGTCTGTGAAACGCACAACTATTGTTTGTGTGGTAATTATTGTCTGTGCACACAGACAAATAATTTTCTGTGTAACATGAAAATATTGTCTGTGCACACAGGCACTGCACATATATTGATTGAATTGCAAGTTGGTGTCCATTTCAGACAGCTGTCAGTCTACTTTCTACAAAAAAATAAATTATGTGTACACACAGACAACTTTTATCTGTGCCCACAGACAATTTCGTACCAATTGTCTGGACCGACATTTTGTGTACAAGTTGTGTACAACTTGTGTACCCCTAGCATTGTTGATCTTTATAATAAGAGATACATGAAAATAGGAAAAAACAGCCAGGGCCGGTCCCGAGAAATTGGGGACCCTATGCAACTACAAAAATTGGGCCTTTTTTTCAAGTTCCAACACAGGTGATTTTTATTAAAATTCAAGTTACTACAATGATCTTCTATTTCAACATTATTTTTCCACATCTACATCATGTTATTCACCCTCTTGAACCTCTCTAGTTTCTTTAGTAATAAATTTATTAAGAACTCGTTTTTTAGACAAAGTTAAGTTTTCAATTTTTCTTTTCTTTTGAAGCTTCTCGTAATCAGATAATTATTTCTTTGAAAACATATGTACACCCAAAAAATCAATTATTCAAATTCTCCCCTAAACGTGAAATGTTAAAAAACTAGGTTAAAATTTAATTACATATTCAAATTCTTAACGGAATAATTTTTAAACACATGTATTCTCAATTCAATGACTCAATAAGTAATACTCCGTAAATTACTAAAATAGATAAACAAATCACAACAACTGCCGTGGAGAGCTAATTAACTTCACTATTAATTTGTAATTCAAAGAATCAAAGTCTCAAAGAAATCAGAAAATCTGCTTAGTTGCTTACCGGTTACTGCGGTAGCGGTTGGAGAGTCCGGACTGGTGCGGACTGTGCGGTCGTGGACTCGTGGTCTTGGACGCTGGAGACGGCCAAGCTGGGTGTCGCTGCGTGGTGCGGATGCGCAGTGGTGGCAAGCTAGAGGGCTGGACCCTGGCGCTGGCTGGAGGCGATCATCGGAGGCTTTTTCTTCCCGTCTT